CATCCAGGAACGGTAACCGCTCACCTTCCTCTACTTTCATCGTGAATTGAATTTTGTTATCAATCTGGTTTACACTCTTCCAGTTTTTCTCTTCCACGTGACCAAAGTGCGAAGTAATCATCCAGGTACCGCATAAGCACTGCCGGTTGTAGCGGTGCCATCTTGAAGCTCTCTTCTATTTTTTTCATGTATACGTTCGCCAAAAGTGGTAAGAGCGGTGATCCCATGGGAAGTCCAAATATTGGTTCTTAGATGTTCCAGTTGAATGTAAAATGGGTTGTCCTTATTGCCAAATTTATTAGTCTTGTTAACGACTCCCTACCGATCCGTTGTGATTCCAGGATATCCTCCTCGCTGTGCAGTATTTCCAGCACGGCCGCTAGCACTTTATTTCAAGATATATTTGCATACATGGATTCCTCATCAAAACTTACCAATAAGTCTTGGTATTCATATCTCTAGTTATATATTCGTAGTATGGCGGGCAATATTAAATTTAATAAAAAAAATTCCTGAGAATAATTTTGAATTTTCTATTTCATGCAATAACCATTGCAAGAGGCCTTGAAAAATATAAAAAGTGACAAATGATTAGAAAAAGTCCATGAGGATATACTAAAATTTCCGAGTAAACTGCTACCATTGGCTAAGCTTAGATTGCACCATCCAGATCGGAAATTGAATAAGGCCGGTGTAACAGAGCTTCAAAACTTCATAGGTCTGTCTAAAATGCTCTAGCTCATAAGAGATGAGGATGAAATTTAATCTCAAGGACTAGCAAAATTTGCTCAAAAATAACTAACAACATATTAGATCAAGGAAAAATGTAAAAACGTTCCATTTTCAATTACATAACCTTTTTCGAAAATTTATCAGACGCACCTTTGTTCTAACAAGATCGAGATGCGCGTCTTCACTGCTTCCATTTTGGCTTCAACTGAGGTAACAGCCGAATCCCCCAGATCCAATTCCAATTGTTCAGCCAGCCCAGTTAACAGATGGACTGCTTCGTGTTCATTCTTTCTCAATGCCTCCTCGAGGTTTGTTTGTATGACCCTGGCGGTATCCAGCTGCTGCTGGGCCAGCTGGAGTGCGTTCGAGACTTCCGAAACATGAAGTTGGGAATCCTAACGAATTCACAATGTGCATGAAGTTAACGACGGCAACAGGTTTGGGATAAGATGGTGTTCAGGAAAATGAAAAGATGACAACAGTTAAACTGGATAAGTATGTGGAAAATGAGGTAAAAAATTGTGCAATATATAAAGCAATCAATTACAGGATTGGAGACTAAGTGAGCATGCAGAATTACCAACTAGTAATAAAATTACTAGATAAGTTGATAGATTTGTAATGAGCAATGTTGCAATCTTTTATTTTCAGCACTTGGTTCCAGCTTTTACTTTAAAGCATTTTAGGCTGATAAAGACTGACCACCCCAATACAGTCATATCACTTGAATTTTTAATCCTTATTCTCGACTTCCTTTTACTTCCATTTCTGCTTTACATCGCACTTTAAGTGGAGCTTGACAACGTATCGTAGCAACCACTGCCTTCAAGTACAACTGTATTCAACACAGCTAAACAAACGCTCAGAAACTTCCCTCAAATGCCTCTTTTTTGCAAGTCCTCGTGGTGACTGTTTTAATACTCGGTCTATCTAACAACTAGTCCACAGTATATAAGGTTTAATCACCCTATTTTATTTAACGTGATAAGAGGACTAGTATTGAATTTTCTCACAATGATAAGACTAGATCAAACGCTTCCATTGGATTTCATATATCCTTGCCTTTCCAAAAGGTAGTGTCATCATGGCTAGAGTGGACTACAGTTTCGACCTCGCTTAAATTTCATCAGCACCTCCAGCTGGACTCGAATCAAAGAAATGAGGCGTATAATCTCAACAGCTTATCTATCAAGCTACATTGCCCTTGGTTCATAGGGCAAATGTGAATATCAAGGAAGGCCAGGCTTTTCCACATATTACATTCTGTGGTGGAATTATCGATGAAGCAAGGTTGCATTTGTCATAGTAATCGACAACACTAGCGCTGCACTGTCATGGTTCAAGTCCCACTGGAGGTGTTTATGAGACCTGGGCGAGGGCAAAACTTCAGTTCACTTCAATCTGGATGAGAGTACCTTTTGAGAAAGAAAGGATATGCGAAAACAATAAAAACATAGGGTCTACTCATATCATTGTGGGAAAATTCAACTACCCGTCCTTTTATGACCTCAAACGAAATAGGATAAATACGCCTGATATATATATATATATATATATATATATAATTATATATATATAATTATATATATGAGATATACTGGAAGTCTCGAACACCTATTTCTATGGCCCGAAATGGCCTGGTCAGAGACTTGTTTTCACGTTCTTCTTGTGTCCATCTACTAAGATTTAAAAAAACATCTAGCATTTCATCCCATGGGTCTTAAGTACAAGTGCCACCCACATGCCGTCAAATCAGAGGCTAAACAAGAAGTATAAAGCGCAAGGCTCTCGAGATGTGATGACCTCTCTAGCCCCAGAGCGACCTAGCAGTCTCGCCGTAATTGTCAAAACCTTGCAGCTTATTTCACTTAATCAGTCGATCATACACAAAGTTTACCAACACTGACTTTGGGGTATCTAAGACTTGGATTAAGTATTCCTTAGTTCTAAGGGGCATTAAATAAGAGGTTTTCGGAGTTTTTTCTTAATGGAACGAAAATATGTGCACCGAAAAGAGAAGCGAAATTGTGGGGAAATGCAAAGCATTTCCCGATTACATCGGGAACACAGCTAGGTATCCCTGGTGGCAGAGTGGAGATCGTGAAGAGCACTTTTTGTTGTAGCTCAAGGTCTTGCCTTATATACTCATTGAGTAATCTCTTATTTGAGGGTCAGTGAGAAGAAGTTACACAAAAGGCCCCTCAGCCTAAAGTTCACCAAGAAGGAAGGCATCGACATAATGAGAATGTAAGGACAAGTCTAGAGAGTCTATTATGTATTAGATCGTATATATGAAGACCAAGATGGAAATGTACCAAGTCAATGACATGGGACACAGGACTAAATAAGTTCCACAAGGTCTTCCTGACGTTCCGATCAAGTTGTGAAAACAGGGTCGAACCAACGGTATTATCTGTTGGTTGGTTTGAGGACTGAGTGAGCCCACAGAGTATACCAGGAGAACCTGCAAGGTCTTTAAAAATGTGGCTTAGAGATAAGTCACCTACGATTCGGAATCCTCAGTCAAGTGAAACATCATAGTGAGACAGCGGGAAAGAATGGTTGACAAAGGAAACAGGTATTACCGGTTATACATGTGTTTGTGATGAAAACTATTTCTAAACATATCTGAAATTCCAGTAACTTGTATCACTTGGCAAAAGCATTTACAAAAATGGAAAACTCCAAAGACAAATGACGAAAATAATCTTAACTGCTGAATACGCGCTCAGAAGCTTGAACCAGAGAGTATGGGATAGGATGGAGTTCAACCGTTAAACCACGGTCTATAAATGATAGTATTTAATCTTAACCAAACTTCCATACAAGGTTGAGACATGGGCTATGAAAGTATGCTAGAAAAATTGCTTGGCAGAATCATTATTGCTTCTAGAATGATTCAATCTAATAAGAGGAACGCGACTCAGTTCTGAAGGCAAGAGTGACAAAATCATAAAAATGATAGGAACACATAGACTTGCTCACATTACTAATCGAATAGTCTTCAAATGAGCAACTCAGATCATAAATATTGACGAGTTGTCATAGAGTTCAAAGGGACAGAATCAGCTAACAGACGTGTGCCAAGCATTTCTAATACACGCATGGCATTTTTAACTTATTAGGCCTAAAGGAATATTACTGAATACGAAAATTGCTGGTAAAACGCATATATGATACTCAGTTAATTTGTAAGAATCAGGCAAACTAATAAGTGAGTCACAGTTGCAGCGGGTTGAGTGGTTAAAAAAATGTATACCTTCATGCGTTGATCTGCTTCAGCCAACTTATCTGTTAGGCCTTTAAGCACCAACTCTGCAGCATCGCGTTCTGC